TGGCAGTGAAACTATTTTTTTTTCATGTTTCTCCGCTAAATTGAGCGGGTAAACATGAACCGTTAGCTTACTCAAGATGCAAGACGCTACTTCGCCGTCCCGAATCTTTTTCCCTTCGAACGGAAGCCGTTGCGCCCGGAGTACAACACGCAGCTCTTTCAAAATCGTTCGCGCAGCATCGCATCCGTTCGTTTGCGAGCGACGGCGATTCATCGTGTGTTGAAAGTCGGAAGATGTGCTGTCCGTGGTGTCTTTTATGTATAACTCGTTCGTAAAAAAATCTGAAACAGTGTAAACGTGATTTTAAATTTATTGGTAGAAATACATACATACTTATATATTTATTTATTTATCTATTTATTTGTCGACATCATGCACAAAAACAAATAGTCGCGTTAATTTTTTCATTTAAAATTATAATGTGGTTTATACAGCGTAAAACATAGTATCTTGAAACTTGCATCGTTTTGAGTTAAAAAGCTAGACTTCATAGAGCTGTATGTTCACTCCGTATTGACAGCAGGGTAGACGCTACGCGTGTTTTAGGCAAATCGTGTCTTCGGTTAGGGTCACGTGGCTACAGTCTAGAATCTGGTGACAGAGCAGGACATCGCACCTGCCTGGCGCCCAAGGCCACACATAGCATTCACAGCACTGTCAACCTTCGTTACAAGTGACACATCTCCTGGTTGTGGCCCCAAAAGATAAGCCTTTTGTTCGTGAAACCCCGTTTTGGCCGCTCCTTCGATCCTTTTCTCTCTCCCTAAGCTGAAAGCGTTGTAAATGGTGAGTGTTCACGTGGTTTGACGGATGACGCGTCAGCCGTTGCCGATCTCGGAATGCGTTTAGCCGGACCTAGTTTGGCGTGTGAATTCTCCCTCTGCGGCAGATGCGTATGTCTGCTTCTGCAAGCGATTTCTTTAAAGAAGCCCAAGAATTTTTTGTGATGCGTTTAGTGTTCGGTTCTACAAACGACAGCTTGTGGTACATCGTGTTGAATCTTCACGGGCACCTTCTCGTTTCTGTGTTCGAGTGGTGGTTTTGCCGTGGCCGTGTAGACATCTCCCTCGTACAACACCTTTCAAGTCGCGTCTCGTCAACGTAAGTGCGCTGCAACCTAGTTCGTGACAATTGATCGTTTTTCCTAAATGTATTCTTCCAGATTACCTCTAGATTTAGGCCGTGTCTATCTCCTGGCAGCCTGGAGAATCATTGTGCAGAATGTTTCGGCATTGGTGCGATTGCGCTAGAAGCAGAAAGTTTCGACATGCCGCCGACAAAGTTTTGACGTGTCGCCAAAAAACAACAGCAGCACAGACTCTTAATTACGCGTTCCAAAAATTGACGAGCGGCTTTACGCGTCGCTTGTAGAAAGATTGTTACGATTTTGCGATATACTGGTAAACAATGCTAGGTCATCCGCGGGCGTATCCCTCTCCGCCCGCTTGTACTTTCTCTAACTCGACGGACACTCTGTCTCGCGGTTCATGCTGACGAAACGATCGTCGGGATACCGGGTAATTGCTACAGCCGAGTGCGGCACAGTTTACCATTGCTCCCGCTGTGGAGGGTCGAAGAGTCAACTACCAGCACGGTGGATACCGTTTTTTTTTGTGTGTTTGTTATTCTTGCAGATTTGTTTTAAAAGAAGCCGTGAACGCTACACTTATGCGGTTTGTGCGAGAGTGATACGCCCAGGGGGACGTTATGTAGTGTGCTCATTTTTACGATAAGTCGGCTAATTAAATAAAATTCATTAATTAACTTTTCATTAGTGAAAATAGACATATGGTTTCAATTAGAAACTTGCTGAGCGTCGTCCAAAACCCCTATACCAGTAATTTTTAGGAAGACTGAGCGCGTGTGAAGCGCAGTAGCGCGCTGAAGTTATCACTTGTGGACCAGGTACAAAGCTGGTGCTAGATAAGAGACAGAAAAATTGCGCGGGCGCCTTACCAAAACCGCTAGCCTTGTACCTGCTCCACGAGTGGTGGCTTTAGTGCGCTTCTCACGCGCTGAAAGACTTTCTGAAAATGACTGATTTAGGGATTTTGGACGACGCCCCGCTAGCTGCTTATTGGAACCGTATGTCAATTTTCACTAATTGAAAAGTTCATTAGTGAATTTCAATTAATTAGCCGAGTAATCGCAAAGCTTAGCGCCCACGTAATGTCCCCCTGGGCGTATAACTCACTCGCAGAAACCGCATAAGTGTGGCTTTCGTGACTTTTTTAAGAACAAATCTGCAAGAATAAAAAAAAAAGCACCCTGATATGGGAGGCAGATATACCCCTATTTGGCAGACCTAGATATGGATGTATAAAAAATTGGGTAGATCTGGTTATATAAGGCTTATATAAACTGATGTGCTTGATATGGCCAGATCTGCCCAATTTTTTATATATCCATATTTTCTTTTATATAAGTCCAGATCTGCCATTTTCGTAAGGGTCAGTAAATATCTAATTATATTGATAAGTTAATTTTTATAATTAACAGTTTAATTAACAAATTTTTGTTAATTACTCCCCAGACTGTGACGGCTGTTCGCTCCTCGAATGTCCGCCGAGCTTAAGAAGTATGTAGAGCTTTAGAAGAAGCTAACTAAAATACAAAATAAGCGTTCATAGTTGCTACGATACTCACCCTATTGAAAAAACCAGCTTAAGCTGGTCCCAGCTTCAAGCTGGGTTATTGCCCCAGCATGCCCAGCTTGGCATGCTGGTCATGCTGGTTGATCTGGTCATACTGGTCATGATGGTTGATCTGGTCCCAGCTTCAAGCTGGGTTATTGCCCCAGCATGCCCAGTTTGGCATGCTGGTCATGCTGTTAAACTGGTCATGCTGGTGAACTTCCCAACCAGTTTAACCTGTTTAAATTAATACACAGAATAAAAAAGCCAAGCTCGTCAGAAAAGCCAACTCGGCATCCAATTTATTATTTTCGTACTTGCGGCAGCCTCACATGAACTCAAATGCTACACATCCTCGGCGCTGACACAGTACTAACCGACGCACAGATTCTCGGTGCAAATTGTCTACAATGTTAATAAAACCAGATTGCTTATCTCTCAACACGAAAAAAATACTAGACACAGGCCAAAAACAGGCAATAGCAGACGAAAATACTACACGGACGAGAGAAGCGAACCTGGGTCCCGCCAGCGATGGGGGCGAAGCGGCAACTTGCGTGGTCGGCAGAGGCGAGGAAATCCGTGTGGCTTGGATGGCATTGGCGATACTCCTCGGCACCGCCGTCATTCTTGGGCACACACACGTTCGAAGACACGAAGCGACGCCGCAGTCGGGACGTCTGACATCTTCCCGCACTGAACGGACTGCCGCTCGCTGTCTTCTCAAAACCCGCTTCGCTTGCACCGTCGTTCAACTAGTCTCCAAACAACGCGCACACAGCCGTCCCTTCGATCTGCCCTCTGCCCAAGCTATCCAAACGCGTCTTCGATTCTCCGTTTCTACCACTCTCTCTCTCTCTCTCTCTTTTCTCGCACACAAAGGTAGCTTGCAGCGCGCCTGACGCGCCCGGTGGTCTACCAAAAACGAGAGGACAAAGAACAGGACGTGGCCTCGTTCCAGCAGCCGACCTTGTCGCGCGCGCTCCCAGCAATGCCAGTTCGGCTATCTCTAGCCGACCTTGGCGTGCGCGCTCCCAGCATGACCAGCTTGACCACCACGATTATTATTTCGACCAGATTCACCAGCTTGTCTCCCAGCATGACCAGCTCGTCTCCCAGCTTGACCACATTGGCTCCATGGAAAACCAGTTTGACCAGTTAAGACCAGACTGGCTCCCAGCTACACCAGATTGAATCTAAAACCAGATTCGAGTGAGACCATGCTGGTTTTTACTTAGACCAGACTGACCAGCTTAAATTCCAGCTTGCCCAGCTTAAACCAGCTTGATTGCCAGCTAAACCAGTTTAATTACCACATTGACCAGTTTGACCACCTTGATTACCAGCTTGACCACCTTAATTACCAGCTTGACCAGTTTGATTTTCATGCTGGTTTTTCCAATAGGGCACTGCTTTCCGTATACGCTGGAATTGCAGGAAACACAGTTGCGATGCTATGCGGTCAAAGTTTTCTCGTTTGACCGCTTGTGTCGAAGCAGCCATCTTCGAAGTAAACTGAGCCAAGAGCGTCAGTATTCTCAGGCAAGCAACCATCCCCCCCCCCCTCCCCCCCCCTCGCCCCCTCCGAACAGCTCGCTGCCACGCAGCACGTCGATACTTTTCTTTGGGAAATTTGCGTCGCGCAAACAAGTTTAATGCTCTATTCTATCGTTCAAATAGACATTTTGCCATGAGCACGCTCACATGCAGTAGTAAGCGATCGCGAGCGAGCGAGCGAGATTCATTGCAACGTGCTTTCTGCATACTTACACATGAAAAGCAATTTCTGCCTTTTTTACGCGATTTACGCAACCGAAAGCGACGCAAGGACCCACCATCACCTTCGGGATCCGCTGCAATTGTTTCACAAAGACTTGCGTTCAATGAAACGCCGCACTTAATAGTAATTCAAGGCAAAGATCACGTCAGTCGTAGTACGCCAGAGACCGCGTCGATCCGTTTTCTACCCTGAGTAAGATGGCGACGGTCGGTGTTCTCTGCGTCAGCGACGGGCGCCACCTCCATCCCAGAAGTCTTAATAGAACCTCGTTGGACCCGTGACTCTACAAACAACAGTTCTGAAAGTATGCGAGCATCTAAATTGATACTCCTCACTTTACTGAATTTACACGCGTGTGAGACTAAACAATACAACCTTTAGCAAAAAAAAAAACAAAAAACAGCAAGCATTTAATAGGGAGGGTGCAGATCAGCCGGAAACAGGCTTTCGTCGTCGAGGTGCACACTTCTCCACATGGGCCCGAAGCAGACGATGACATGTGGACGCCTACAATTTCAGCCGCAAGTTACGGCGACACGGTTCGACCTCGAGACGGTGTACCCTGGTCCAGCTTCCCGATGTCTCGCTCAGCCGGAAGCCACTGGGAGCACGTTCTGCTTAAATTGCCCCAGATAGTTTCCCGGGGGGTTGTAGTTGCAGACAACGAAGTATGTGCTTCGGGAAGCCGCTTTGCTTATGGCGCATCCCACGTTTGTGGTGGATTTCCAGACGACCTGGGTGAAGTGTCCCGTTTTATACGAGAAGCCTGGATTAGCGTAGTCGTAGTCCTTGATCTCGTTGTACCAGAAATCAACGGGAGTTTGGGCTGCGCGAAAAAAAGAAAAACGGAGAAGAAAATTGGCTGTCTGGCATTTTCAAAAGGGTTCTACACGCCTAGCATTTCTAAGGCCTCCATTCGAATTCCTCTTTGTTATTGGTATAGTGAGGAGGCAAATCAGGGCCACGTTTGTAGGATTCTGCGATTACATTAAGCCGTCACGGTGTAACCTAATACTGTGACGTCACTTGACGTCATGGCGCCAGGTGACGTCATTGTACCATGTAACGTCGCAATGTCACGTGACCCGATGATGTCATGACACCATGACGTCATAGTGTCACGTGACATCAATGCATCACATGATGACATGTGATGTAACACTGTGACGACCCAAAATGCCCGAGCCTGCATGACGATATAAATGCTACGTATTTAAAGACAACAACAAACAAAAGAGTCGGAAAGAAGTTTTAATGGCCTTGAACGCGACAAACGCTGCGAGCTGTGGCCGCATCAGAGACTTCTTGCATTAAACGTGGCCTTGGAGTCGTCTTATAGCCCCTCGGCCAATCAGATGCCTCATCGGCCGACAAAAAGGCCGAAAAACCGTCCGCGATGCGAGAAGCGTGGACATGATGAGCGTTTGCTAGGTTGTTATATCGAATGTGCGAATACCGCCTCAAATCGAGTGGCACTGCGTCATTCTCAATTTTCGCGGTGGAAGGTAAATTCACGCTAGCCGGTTTGTTTAATGGTGTAAAAGCTAGGGATGACAGTGCGTTATACGATTTCAACCGGTATTCGCCCACATCTCTAGTTGTTACGCTGCCTATCAAGCCCGCATGCAGGTCGATGACGGCAGAATGGTCATGACGGTTACTTTAGGTTGGGGCCACCCTTAAGTTCCTTGATACTTTTTTTTACGAGTAACGACAACCAATACAAATCACAAAGCACATTCCACTGGAACAACACCGCGAAACTCAGTCAAACCTCTGCTGTGCGCCGTCATTCGCTTCCTAAAACCTGAACCGTCATGCAGTCGGCACTTCAAAGAATGTCGCTATTAGTATAGGAAGCTCTTATCTAGTCACTTTATGCTGGCCGAGTGTGTACTGTTAAGTTACGAACATAAAGACAGTCGTGTGGATGATAACAAATGCTATAACGTCTAAAATTAAAATTAAGTTTTTTTTCTACATTCATATTTGTGTTATGTTTTCAAAAGATTGGAAAGCGCGAAATAGACCGTAAGAATGAACAAGAAACATGTCTAGAACAAAGTTTTTACGGTGCGGAACAACCGGTTGGAAGCCTTCCAAAAAGACCTCTTCAAAAATCGCCTAGTGCGTGCAGCCATCTTTGTCGTGCTGGGCTGTGAAACGCGTTCTGAGCATGCGCTGTAACTCTGTTGTGCGGTCTATCAGACGCTGAGCTAGCGTCCTCAGCTCAGCGACTCGACACTTTCCGCTTAGGCGTTACCTGACCGGTGGATGATCATTGAGTTCCACTGAGCTTGCCTACCTTATTTATATTCTATTTCACCTTATAATGTACTACAGGAAAGGCTACAAACGCAAGCTCTTGCTCTGGGGAAGATCTTGGCGGCATAAGCTCTCATGCATTTAGCGCAGCTGCCAACGTTATGAGCTTGCGATGCTAGCCTTCAATGGCATACAACCATATACTCCTCTATACTCACAAAGCCTGGAAGATCGCAACAGTAAGCGGCCACCGAAATTGAAACGGTAGAGCGGCTGACAACGAATTAGAGGAGAGCCACGTAACGGGCGCCCCGCTGCGGCGAAACGGTGAAACACATTTCTCCCGAGCGATGGAATGTCCGCTCGTGCTCCTCGCACTCCTCGCTCTACCGCTTCATTTCTCGCCTGGTTTGAGAGCCATGTTTTGGGTCCTTGCCGCTGCAAAAGCTGTGCGCTGAATGCCAGGCTCCCCGAGAAATGCTCTCTGCTACTAGAGATCCTCGCGCTCCAAATCTGAAAACGGGCATTCTATGGCTCCGTCGTCGAACTGCCAGGATTTGTGAGTATAGAGGAGGCTATGGTACAACTTAGGATGAAACGGAGTATAACTGATGGGAGTTAGGCCCAATAGATCCAAAGATGGCGGCGCCTGCCACATCGCCGCCCATGGCCAGCACCGGCGAAGCACTTACTATTGCGGATGGTTGGGGGAGGTATCTAGAAAGTATCGTGGCAGTAAATATTGTTGGACGAGGTATGATTCCAGGCCAGAGCTGCCACTAGAACGATCATGGCACGTCGCGAAAGCCAAAGCTCAGTGAGGGTGACCATTATGATGTTGTGGAGAATAAATATTTCGTTGTGTATGTTCTGCTTTAATTTGTGTAAAGCGTTCTGATAGTCGTTTCTTTACTCCGAAAATGAAAAAAAGAAGTTTCTTTTATGTTGTTTATAGCGTTTATAACAAATGAAAAGTGTGCATATATTCATTTGCATTGATATCTTAAAAAAAGAAAGGTAATGTGAATGTGACATCAGTTTTAGTCTCGTTTCGGCTTTCAACTAAGTTCCGAGACGCGCATCTCAACTGGGGTTGTTAGGCCTAAGTACCGAGTAACACCAGACAACTTGGTTGAGCTCAAGGACACTTGTGACATATCAACGATCGTTGGCTTAATAACAGGTAAGAACACTATAGTATAATTGGGGTATTACAGCGCTCTGTGTTGATTAGTCTCTTTGTCCTCGTCTCAAGCGCTACCATACACCCCCGGCGCCGCGCATGCGGAATGGAGTGTGGGCAAGAGGATCACCGTCGCCTGCAAACAAACCATTGGAATGCGTGTTGTCGGCGGCGTGTGAGTCCCCGTGCTCTCTGTCTCGTTGGAATTGGTGATCTTACGTCTTCCTGGCAATGTCCCAATACATTAGCGGCCTCGTGGAAATTAACGAGGCTCGTTTCACCGCAAAATTGTGCGTGAATACTGTGACATGCGACGATTCATTTCGCGTCAACGCCGCAGAATGAACGCTAAAATCTGATTCGCATGATAAGATTCTGCTCGATATTTTCAGTCATGACGTCGCTCGGGCTGCAAAAGCGTAAATCGTAGCTGAGATGGTGAACGTTGATACTGAAAATCTCAAGCAGAATCAAACCAAGTGGATCAAGCATCCCAACTTGGTGATGACCACAAGTAACAATTATCAACATTTCTTTGTGTGTACTATTTAACTGAGCCCAATACCCCCAACCAACCCTCAAACTTCAAAGTACGTAGAGGCCTTCACTTGATTCTTATCGTAATTACCTGGTCATCGTTTAGTCTACGGGCCGCAGTCGTTTGAACTTTGAATGAGCAGACGACAGCAAGCAGAAATGTTTGAAAGAGTCGACGACAGTTCGAACGTTCATGTGGCCGTTTAAACTTGAAGACGCACTGAACGTAGTCGCAGGTGGTCGGAACAACCTGGCGGTTTTCCCGCGTTCATTTTGGAACAACAGAAAAAATTCTGACGACCACAACTATCGTGAATTTAACTCAAAGTGCATCCCGCACAAGCGATCGTTGTGTGACGACGTCAGGTTTTTCTTCTTTACGGCCCCTATCCAATTTCCCGGACGAAGCGAGCAAACAGAAAACACGTGAAAACTGACCACCAAACGTTTCCCGACTCTTTTGATACAACCCAGTCGCGGCGTTCTGACGAGAAGGCAAGTTTTTGTCTGGTTTCTTCCAAAACAACACAAGAATGCACGTTCCACATGGTTACTTCCGCCCACAGCCCCAGACCGGAAGTACGCCCGACGCGCCACCAACGCGCCGTGACGTACAGAGCTGAGTTCGTGTATATGGCGGCTTTTGAGCTGCAGCGGCTGTTGGAGTGCCCAAAGTGCCGCTGCCGCCATCTGTCGGTTGTGGCTTAAGTCAGAGTGTGCGCATGAGCAGACAGACGCCGGAGGCAGAGAAAACCAGGCAATGTTATTTTGCTTTTTTTATACTCATGTATGTTCGTTCTTTAAAATTTTGACGCGATGCTTCCACCAGCTTTACACAGCTCTCTGGTGAATCATAGCACGATATGTTACGAAGCCGATGTATGCGGTCACCTTGAAGGCTTCACCCGGATTCAGGGGCTAGTGGTATCAATAGGAATGTGCCAGCTAAAGCGCAGGGAATTGATTCACTCTCACTTTACCCCCCCACCCCCCCCCCCTGTCTGACATCTGGCGGAGTAGACGTTATTCAGAGGGAATCATTTCTGTATTTCTAGTGTCCCTTTTTTACTTATTTTCTTGGCTCTCGCGTCACCCCGCTGCGCTTGTGCTGCTGTCAACATGGCGCTCGCGCCGTGCCGACACCTAGTGTTAGCAATATCTCACTTGTTTCTACACAAGGTGTTTGTCTAGGTACAAGGTGTTTTAAGGGTGATTTGTATATAAAAATTGCCGCGGAGGCCACACTAACGCGCTCTGTGCAGGTGAGTTATGCGGTCAATGATGCAAAAACTAGGGGCCTAATCGTCAGAATAATTAGGTTAATTAACTAAACTTTATGAATTAACTTATTAAAAAATAAAGGTGCGGTTGCAATTAGAAACTTGCTGAGCGTCGTCGACAAGCTCTGATTAAGTACATTTTCGCAAGACTTGGGGCGTGTGGGAAGGGATTAAGTTACGATTCACGCAACGAGCGCAAGGCAGGTGGTGCAAACACGCGCCATGGCGGTTTGTTTGTCTCTCATCACTCGCGTTGTTGCAGCGCCAGCATTGAACCCGTTGCAGGATGTATGCCGTCACTTTAGCGCACCCACCATGCGCCCAACAAATTTATAAAATGTACTTATTTCGTGACTTTCGATGACGCTAAACAAGTTTCTAATGTAAACCATGTGGTTTCTGTTGCATTATTTTTAAAATATAATAAACACGTTTAAGTTATTTTAATGATCGTGACGAGTAGCCCCGTATATTATGATCCCCTGGCCGTATAACGCACCTTCACAAACCGCATTAGTGTTGCCTTCCCAGTTTGTATTTTTAAACAAATCTGTCAAATCTGTAAAGCCTGAAAAAACACACACACACACACACACCATGCATCTCTAAAAGCCCAACCCAAAGAGACATCCGTGTGCATACCATTGACCATGAAGCTGGGGCTGCTGGACGATGCAGTGTAGATGTTTTCGCCGTATTTGTTATCTGGACGGTGTTCAAGAGGTGATCCCTTTGGTTGTGCGGCAAGATGATCTGCCCAGTCTTGCGCCAAGAGGCGAAGCTGGATCGTTCGAAGAGAAACAAAACAGAAACCACTGATGGCAAAGATCAACACACCGAAAGTGTAAAGGCAAGAAACACGCTTAAAGTATATTCTAGTACACTGGCAATATCTAAATTATCTATTTAATTTATTTTTAGTGTTTTTTTTTAATTTCAACGGAGCGGTTTACGCGTAGAACTAGCCTGGCAAGTAAGGCGCTTGCTTTAATTCATAAACGTAAAAATTGGCACTTGACAGCTACATTTTGTTGCCGGTATAAGCAGCATAAAGCTGGCATTATTGAATGCAGAGGCGATTGCAAAAAAAAATGCTAAATTCCTCAAAAAAGCACTGATTTTTACTAAGCACCGCTGGTGGCAGAAAGGGTTTATTTACAATGTACTGCGAACATCGAGAAAGCCCCTTGATATCTCGATGCTTGTTGAAGACATCGGTCTCGCGTTCACGTGGCTCGCAACAAACAGCAAACCTTAAATCCACCCTTTTTCTTTTCGTTTTTTAACTTTTTTGCATTTGACATTTAAGACATACGCGGCCAGCGTGTTTGATTGATAAGACCATAAAAATATCCAGTTCGTGTGTGGCGCAGGACTAAGCTATATTACCTGTATTCTTCAAATACAGCAACACGGCTAGTACACTGCTGGAAGCGACTCCATGCACAGCGGCAAGAACACATCCTCTGACAAAGTGCAATCTCTGCGGCGCAGCACGAGGAACCGTATAGACCATGTCATGAAATCTGTTTTAAAACGCATAAGATCACGCTTGCTTTACGAATCTCGATATTTCTTATAATTTTCTATTCCATTTTTGGCTGGTTCGCCTGCCCTTTTCCACCCTTCGCATACTCATTCTCGTGTTTCCTCTTCAGATGGCGAATAAAGTTCGATGATATACGCTGACTGCACCGTGTATAGTTTCGTTGCACAACTTTCAGCGTGCAGCTTGTTTATTTTCTTCGCGACTAATGTAGAAAAATGTCTTCTACGGTGCCATGACTCGGTCTGTATTTATCTTGTCTTCTCGTCCGAATTGTGATGTTCCCCTTCGCGCTGATGGAATGGCTGGTTCAGGCAGCAGTCGGTAACAACGGATTCATTCTTCTACCTCGGTGTCGGTTGTTCGCGTTGTGGTGACGGGTCGGGAAGTCAGCGTTGACAAAGCTCTTCCCATCAAGATACAATTAACGGGGTAATACCGCACCGTTCGAATTGACATTCCACGTGTTTCCTCAACAACACCGTCCAACTGACTTCTCACCGCCTCAAATAGGGTCCAGGACAAGGAGTACGAATGCAACCCGGCCAGCCAAGACGCGCGAAAGCCAAAACCTCAGTGGCAGCTAGCACCCAGCTCTCCTTCTCAGTTGCCCTCACAGCGACGGTTGCGCCTCTTCTGGCGCGGGACAAACTTTCTGCAGGTCTAGTCAGTTCGGTCACACCAAGAGCGGTGACGATAGTCTACTTCACCTTACGATGGACCTCAAGAGACAGCACGAGAGCCATCCAAACCAATCCAGTGCTTTCTGAGTGTCGCGTGACCCTGCAGTCCCGCTCACGGTGCTGGATTGCCTAGGGTGACTCGTAGCGTCCGCAGCGGTCCATCGCAAGGTGAAACAAAGTATGCAGAAACTAAAGTCAAGGGAAATGAGCGGGAATCCGCTAGCTTGCTTGTAACCCCAACCCACTAAAACACAAAACACAGAAGCAAGCATCGGAACAAAGACCAAGTGATAGGCGGACTTACAATGCAAATGCAGTATAAAAAAACAAGCCTCGGTGCAAAGCGCAAAAGGAGAAGAGGGGGGTGAATCTCGCTTTGTTTTAATGCCGAAGCAAACCCACATTTCGCACTTCAAAAGAGTGCGCACGAACGAACGTAGAAGGTAGCAGGGTTGGCTGCCTGCTAAACAACGCCCCTCGAACTATAAGAAAACAATACCTGATCATCTTTCGACGGTGCCCGAGTCAACAAATTATCAGAGCTCAGAGCTCTGCGAGTTATGAGTCGCTTCCGCTCCCAGATCTCAGTCTGTGCGCGCGTGCACTCTACAAACCGTCGCAACAACAGCAAAAAAAGCATGACAAGAAAGACGATGAGGAGTTGTGCATGGCGGTTTCTTTCTTTGCCGCTCCCTTTTTTTTTTGCTTGGTGCTTGGTTTCTTGTTTCGCTCTCGTGTAACGCCATCGAAGCCCGACGCCTGCGCGTCCGTGAAAGGCGCCACGTTACCCCCCTTTCCACCTTTGCTCTTTGCTTTGACGCTTGTTTTTTGTATTCATTTTTTTTTTCGCGTATAAGTCTGTTAGGGCTCCACGCGGGCTAGCAGTTTCCCGCTCATTTTATTTCTGAGCAACAGACTCGCTGACTGGCTCGATTGCGCTGACCGTAGACACACACAAAAAAAAAAAAAAAAAGAAAAAAAAGAAGAAGAAGAATTGTGCTTATTCCATTCCCATTCCATTCCGGGCAAAAGGCACCTAATTACATTCCCATTCCATTCCCCTGAGCGTTGCCGCCATTCCATTCCCATTCCATTCCGAGGTCGTGAAAATGCGGAATAATTCCGGAATCATTCCAACTCCGGAGTGGCAACTCCGCAACACTGCACGCCAGCATGTAGCAGTGGCGACGCGGACACGGGAACAATAGGGAGTTTTCGTAGATCGTTTCCGCTGTCCCGCAACGCTCTCCGCAACCAGCTACGCTAGCCGGAACTCTACAGTGAAGGCCATCGGCGCGCCGGCGCAATAGCGGCTGCTTCGTTACGGAGGGCTTAGCGGAGGAGGAAACTGCTGCGAACGTGAGCAACACATGCAAGCTAATTCTCCAGATAGTGAACGATTCGACCGAGTCTCCTGCCAAATACCTTTTCGCGACTATAGACCGACACGCGGAGCGGCTCTGTTTACCAACACGGCCGGAAGGCCGCGCATGCGCGGTAGCTATGTGGGCAAAACGACCCGGCTCTCCGTGTTTTCGCCATTGAGTTGTGTGGCGTGCGCTCGTTGTGGACGTTGTAGGGACGCTTCTAGCTTTATTTGTGAGTCGTATTTCCTGGCAACGTATGTCGCATGCTATGCCCGAATATTTGAGCTCGCTACCCGAGCCTGAACGGCGGCGGTATCGAAACAAGCTATGGGTGGACGGCGTTGCCTACGAGGATCCGTACGCCGTAAACAAGGCCTGCTGGACTTCCGACGTGAAGTTGCTGCCACCGAAGTCGACGGCTCACGTCGTCGTTTATTTAGTTTTTTCTCCGAGCCAGTTCACGGCCGACACGGAGCATGAGTACAAGTCTCTCGATGCCTACGATTACTTCGAGTCGGTTTCCGCACTGCCGGTGGGATCAGCAGACTGTGGGTCTACGGGAGTGTATTTATTAATTAAATAAATACACACAATGTCTTCAAGTCAAGGTATGCTATTTTTCCTACTCTCATGACCACAAGGTAATACAAGCAGTAACGCTTTGTCCGTTCTGCAGTCTTGGTGGTAACACGTTACAAGTAATGGCGTTACGAGGAACGCGTTACTTTTTTCAGTAAGGTAGTAACCTACTCATTACCTTTTCGACACAGTAACGGGTAACGTACTTACGTTATTATTTCAAGTAACGTAGTTACGTTACTCGTTACTACAATTACACTTCAATTTTTCCCGTGTTTTTGGGCGTCAAGACATGTTTTTCTTTCTGTTTTTTTCTCGTGAGTATTTAGGTGAAACCGTAAAAAGAGATAAAGTAATTATGTTCAGTTTCTGCATGAACGTAATGTTTCTTGATATATGAGCTTATGCATACCTGTATCGTCAAAACCGTAAAACGTGTTAAGTTATAATTTAAAACGTAACGCAGAAGTAACATGCGTTACTCTTTATCGGTAGCGGTAACGCGTTCCTTTTATTTTTAGGCGGCGCGTACCTTAGATTTGCAAGTAACGAGTAAAGTATTTCGTTACTTTTTTTCGGTAACGCCTACGACACTGCCGTTCTATCGCAAATCCCCTTCTGCTAGGTAGCACGGGCGTAGCGAGCCTCCGACGAGCGCTTGGCCGGTGCTTTGTGCGCGAACACCGTCGGAACAAAATCCGGGTGGTCTCGATCAGACGACGGTTTCCCTGCACATAAGCAAGCCTCGGGACGGAGATTGAAATGAAAGCCGCAATTGCCTCCAAGAAAGTGCTTGCCGAGCAAACGGTCGTTCGCGCGAGGCGACCATAATTTTCGATCCACGGATATTATCCACCTTCTATGCATTTCAGAGTCTGCCAGGAACTTGTAGAAGCTCACTCCGCTACTTTTCTTGTACATTTCGGTGAGATTAACGGCAACACAGCTTCGCGGCATGCTGAAATGCTATGACGCCCATGCGAAACGTGCGCCCTTTTGCCCACACCCCCCGGCTCCGGCGCGATTGCAGCGCCGCCGCAGCGCCGTGACGTCAAGTGCGCGTGTCGGTGTATATGGTGCCGTCCGTCGGGTCTCGCGGTTTAGCAGAGATGCAATCAACATCACCTCTGCGGAAAGTGTAAATGTTTCGAGGCTAGGTGGCGCAAGCTACCACCCATCTATACATCCATCCTTCATTTGTTCATTGTGTGAAACCCAACGCCATTTCTATGTGTACATTTAGCTGAGGTACCTTTACGCTGCCGCCTCATTCGGATGTAAAAATGTGAGGGAAAACACTTTTAATTAACCGAAAATATACCTTTAGTGCTATCCTTTGAGAGGTACTTCGTAAGTCTATACGATTTGTATGCGTTCAGTGCCTTACTTTTTACCAAGAAAAACGCAACGTGCAAAATAAATTATATCAAATGCATATTATCATTAACTCTACCATAATCATCATAATCATGTTTCTACTTTTTTTTTGCCTATAAACAAGCATACTTACGAAAAATACCTCCGTTTGCATGCCTCATGTTATTTATACAAGTGACTGCATCCTTTTTATCTGTGATTACATATCTTGATTATTATGTAAAAATTAAGGGAACTCAAATGAAAAAGCAGGGGCATTAACACTCATCGTGCACACTAGCTCGGGGTCTTTATCGCCGTGAAGTATTCAAAACATGAATGTAGTTGCAGATGAAAGACATTTCACCCTGATAAATTGCTCGGATCATATGGCCCAAGGAAACTGTGTGTACAGAAACGGGCTCTAAAGTTAATAAAATAATTCACGAATTAAATATTTTAGATACAGCTTTTGAGCATAGTTTGATGTATCTTTGACTTAGCTGTCAAACCTGGCTGTGACATTGTGCATGTATAAAATACCAAAAAATCAACACGTTTTACGGCGGAGGCATCCTCGTTGCGTTTTAACTTTTTCCTTGTATATGTGTGCGCAAGTGTGTACGCGCAGTGGAGTGCATACCGGCTGTGTCGAATAGTACGACACCTACTATGATTGTATTTTAACGCAGAATACGATTTATAAGCCTATTTTTATGGAGTTTCCTAATGTTTGAGTATAACAAAAAGCCGACACCGAAAAGCAGGTACGATTACAGGGAACCAAATAAAAAAGTCTCCCGGCATAAATTTGAGCCCACCACCTGGCTCGCTTAACTGGCTCACATTTGTGTGCCAGGTTAGTAAAGTATATAGAAATCATGCTTAATAATTAAGGTGTTTGTTTTTCGTTAGACAAGTTTACCTTTCCAGGATTGCGTGGGCATTTTTTTTTTTTTTTATCTTTCGATTTTGGTGTCGGCGTTTTGGAGTGAAAATTTGCGGGGTACAGAGCGACCGCAATGCGGGAGTGGTTCCCCCGCGGCAGTTAAGAAACATCTTGGGTTTCGGGAGTCTGCTCGGACAGAGACGGGGGGAGCCCGCTCTTGGAGGTGCTTGTGGCCTTTAACCGAGTTTGCCTGTAAATAGAGGGTTTTGCCGGTCAGTGTCGAATTGTCGCTTTTGCCCGATGCAATAATTTAGCTGTTGGCGCCCGCCAGGCTGACAGCTCGCCGACCATTGGAGAACCGTGTACCACGTAGGAGGGGTGGAATTTGAAGAGATCAGTCGGTCCCTGAGAAGAAAGAAGGCCCCTACGGGCCTAGAAAAGGAGTGCCAAGAGGATCTTTGGATTCGATTCGACTGAGGGAGATGGGGGACGGCGGTCGAGCCTCTAGACGAGCCAGGATGGTCTCCCAAGTTAAGACTTGTAACCAGGGTAAATAAATGCACATAATTCTCTACAAGCAGTGAGTCGACCCGTCACTCAGCGACGTTCGTGCCACCTTGCTCCAGACCATCGAAGCGGAACCTGCCTCCCACACCACCGGGAGGACCAACAACCTAGCTAGGTGCTTTGCCGACTATGTTATATAAATAAAAGTTTTTTTTTTTTTTTTTGTTCTGAAAACTGGGTTATTCGGGTTTGGTAATCGATCGGAGCTGGCAAAAGCGAACTCAGTCACGCAGCGCGTGAAGCTGCGGTAGCATGCTTCGCGGCCTTTCCTGTCAGGTTGCGCAATCTCATGACGTCTTTCAGAAATTACAGCGAATCTTCGGTAGGCGGTGCCATTCAGACGCCCTTCTGTTCTTCCCAGGGGGCCTATCATACCATTCTGTACTTACCAGTCTTTGTCAGTGTGATCAAGCTTGCGTATTTTTACAGCGCAGCTGTTAAGGGCTAGTTTCCACAGGTTCTTGAACGGCACCAAACAAATGTCGACACCCATGGTCGACACAACACTCTGGTTTCCGCCGTCGCTCATAGATGTCGGTAGCTGTCCATAGTGTTGTTTGCCAGTTGTCTGCTTACCGCCGTCGCTCATAGATCGCAGCAACCTTTCAGCCTCGGCAACCAGACAACCGGTTGCTGCCGCCGCTCGTAGATGGCGGCAACATTTCTTCGGAGGAAGAAGAGCGGGAACGGAACGAGCGGCGATGTGGGCAGCAGCGCGAATGGTTCCGCAACCGCCGCGACGCCGTTATTGCCTAAAGTTCCACTGCGTCGAGTGCTTCAGATTCTCTTGCGAAAGAAGAGATCGCTCGCCTAAAAAGCCACCGCCGAGAACAGAAGCTACAGCTCCGCTGCTATTCCTTCTTCACCAGAGTGGAAAGGATGAAAGATATTTTTTATCGTTTTCTTCTAGGAACCGTTAAAGTATTTTTGCGCACTTTTATAATCTGTAGCAGGAATATCTTCTTATTATAACGGCAGAGCCGGCTACATTCATCCACGTTTAGTTTATTTATCATGCAACTTGTTTATCTCATCCTACACCGTATTTTAAGATTAATCGTGGACTTTGTTTTGAAACGCTAAATCAGCGACGACTTAAATAATTCATTTATCATCAAGCACGGTAGATTTTATGTATGAAAAAATATTGTAAAAGTGAAAACCTATATTTTTATTTTGTAAACGCGCGTAAGCGTGGCTTCGATAAGCCTCAGCATATTCCATTGTATTGCTTTAAAAATTGCGAGTTACCAGCGGGGTGAGAATCACTCGGGGCGTCTTTTTCAGATACACATGCTTGCAGCACACGCTTGTCGCCTTCCGTCGTGCTTCGACTGCTCGTGCACGCTCGAGGCTCACGTGACGCCGAGCATTATGGAAAGTAGGAAGCTCGCTTTCCACCGGTCATATCTAGGAGGCCATAAAGACCTCCTAAATAGAAAAAGATACCGTTTCATTGTTCTTCAGTCCAGGCACTCCGTGCTTCTTCCTGTAGTAATCATGGCGCTGGCGGCACTCATCACTGTAGACCGAGGGGTCCTGGGAGGCCTGCGGGTTTTCGAGTTACGGAGAGTAGCCCGAAAAACATAAAGTTAGCTCAATCGAGCCTTGCAATTTTCAATTTGATAGCATAGTCCAATACACTTACAACGATAACGAAAAAACCCGAAATATAAATCGTTATAACCGATTATCCTTCAATCGGGACTAGAAGCTAATCATTTCCAGTCTAAAAACTCTACAAACTGATCGTTATAAGCGGTACATCGTTATATGGGGTATCGTTATAAGTGGATTCCGTTGTATATAGCGCTAGCCTCGGGAATTTTTGTGAGCGTGGCGTGTCGACGCTACGATGTCAAAGTGTCACGTGACGTCATTACTTCACGTTAAACTATGACGCAACGTGACTCAGAGACGCCATATGTCACTATGAAGCCACGTTACAATGTGACGTCCCGTGGCACTGAATTCACGAGACGTCATATTGTCACATAACATGACGCCACGAGACAGAATGACGTCACTTGACGGCATGATGCCACGTGACACTATGACTTCACGTTAGACTGTTACGTCATGCGACACATTAACACGTTAATGTGTCGCATGACGTAATGTGACAATGTGACGTGACGTGTTAACTACGTTAACACGTCACGTCACATTGTGATGTCACGTGACTCCACGACGTAATGTGACGTCGACGTGTCTCGTGACACTCTGTAACTCCCTTATACATTAACAGAAAAAAATAGCAACGTCTATTTGAGTGGCTTCTTAAACGGTATTCGCTCAGGGGAGAAATTCCAATCTTGGCTCACCGGAATGAGCATCGCGTGTTAACAACGTCACGGTTTTGCACGGAGCCACGCTGACGTACACATCCCAGGCGGATGGGGGAGCATTTGTTCGGGGCGCACAAACGTTCCCCGCGATTGGCGTTGGATCTCTTTTCAATTAGCGGTATGTCATTCGCGGCTAACATGGCGGCAGCGCTCGGGGGCATGCTTCGTGACAAAGAAATGGCGGCCGCTTTATGGGCCAGAAAAGGGTCGGGGCATTGTCGTCAGTGTATGTACAGGGTGCGGCCGTAAAAACTTTCACATTTGGCACGCCTAGCAAAAATCGAATTTCAAACTTACATACCTGAAATTGGGCCCACGAACGTCGTTTATTCCAAAGTTTTTTGCCTATTTTTTTCAGACGTCAACTCTGGAGCAGCGAATTATTAGAAAGATAACAAAAATGGCAGACGTGCATTTCCTATGGCCTATACCCGCCCGTTCGCCGTCTGCTATCTGGTTCGCGACGCCGCTCCCAGGTAGCGCACTGAACGCAAAAACGCGGGAAACGCCGCACGAAAGGCTGGTGTCGGGCGAGATAATCGCGATAGAAAGTGATTTGAACGGAATATATGAACGATTGTAGAAATTACCTGTTTCAAGTCAAGTTCTGACAGATCGTCATGCAAGCAAGAAGACACCATGATGTGACAAGATAATTTATTTGCAGCTGCTCGTCTTGTTAACAATTGCGTGTCGCTCTCGAAGACAGCAAGCACGGCTTCAATAATCTCCTCATTTTTCAACAGGCTCTCACGTTCACTGACTGTATTCTTCTTTTTAAAGTCTTTTCCACTCACAAAACGATCCGCCCAACTCAAAACAGTCGGGCGTGAAGGCGGGCGTTTATGAAATGCAGTGCGAAATTTTCGTTGTGCTGTGGCCACCGAGTTTCGCTCCACGTACCACTTGACTGCCTGGGAACACTCACTTGCCGAGTATTGCGGCATCGCAGGGCGGCGCGGAAGATATTTTGATAATAACTACAGAAGATAATGCAACAAAAACAATAAATAGGAACAATCATGATGCCTCAGCAGCGGCACTCTTGATTATAAAGTTGAGCTTTCACCGGGAACGGACCCGTCAACAGATAACCAGACGACAAAGGAAGACACACTTTCGTCTGCTTTAGAAAATATTTTTATTAAACGAGGGCGTCCGCCAGTTTCTAAATTTCAAGTAAAAAGGCATAATCGTTCACATATTTCAGTAAAATCCCTTTTTATCGCGATTATCTCGCCCGACACCAGCCTTTCGTGCCGTGTTTCCCGCGTTTTTTGCGTTCAGTGCGCCATCTGGGAGCGGCGTCGCGAATTAGGTAGCAGACGGCGAACGGGCGGGTATAGGCCATAGGAAATGCATGTCTGCCATTTTTGTTATATTTTTAATAATTCGCTACTACAGAGTTGACGTCTGAAAAAAATAGGCAAAAAACTTTGGAATAAACGACGTTCGTGTGCCCGATTTCAGGTATGTACGTTTGAAATTCGTTTTTTGCTACGCGTGCCAAATGTGAAAGCATTTACGGCCGCACCCTGTAGAATACGAATGACGAAAATAATCCGTGGAGAAGGGGAACAAGAGGGACAAAGGACAAACACAGATCTCCAAACACAGCTAGGCGACTGGTGCGCGACCGAAAAAATCCGCCTGGGCCCGTTTTCTCGAACGCGAACCGTGGGTTAAAGTTTACTATTGTCCCTAGAAGAGGAAATTCTAGGTCACGTGTCTGGGAGAGCAGGGGCGCCGAAGGAGGAGCAGTACCCAGAAGCAAAATGGCCGCGACTTCGCTTAATGAGGGCTAATAGTTCATCATGGTTCTGCTAAACATTCATTTCGATCCGCCTGTTATATCAATGACGCACCATCAATTTATTAGCACGTCAAGCAAAGCGGTAGTTCAGAGGGACTGCTAAACTAACCGACGGCAGCATTCCGCGAACGTGTCACTCTTCAGCAGTCCGGGATCCAAGACATATGACGGTACATAAGCCTTGCAAGTGTTTTTATGGTGAGTAAAAAGATGTTTTGCGAACGAGTGTTGGTATATATTTATACTAACACGTTTAATTTGTTACACTATGCACGCCAACTCGTGAGCTGCGATTACTTTGCGGAGAAGGGGGGTTATCCTCGATAAAGTATTCGTTCCGGGTGAACAGCTGGGACATGGTATTCTTTTTTTGTTCGCAGTGCGCCGACAGTATGCCGACAGTATTTAGGTTTCTACATATACCCCGTGGCCAGCAATTCAACAGTGACGAGAAGCTTAGCTACTTGTCACCGGTGGATCGGTTGGGCAAAAGGAAAAGGCTGCAAACAGTTGAGACCAGCAGGAATCGCAGAAACGTGCGTCGCAAGGAACAAAAACGAGACTACAGCACCGGCGTTGCCAGACTGGAAGGCGCACGGGAAAGTTATGCGTTGTTTATGGCGAAATATATTGAAGGAAATGTTTCTTACATTTTCTAATATTCGTCGGCAAACTTTTGCATAGTAGCTAAAATTTCTTCGTACCATCTGAAGCAAATAAATTGGTCTTCAAGCACAACATTACTATATTTTGACTTAAAATACCATACTAGATCGATAACAACCAGCGGAAAAAGAGGATAAACAAAATGACTGGCTTGTTTCACCGATAGATGGCGCATCTTACAGCCCAATCAAAAATAATTATTGTTGTTCTATATCCAGCCGTTTATTACAGTACCTAGGTACTTTTTTCCTTCCTAGGCACCATGGTTTGCCAAAATGGGTTTACCATCGTTTCAAGAAAACCGGCAGTGGTCTTGGCATCGAACCAGGTGCCTCTCCATCTCCAGTGGAGCGCTCTACCAACTGAGCTAACCAGGGGTTAGACTTTAGTAGAGCAAACGGGTTTCATCAGCTGCCACCAGTCTAATACCCGATTCACGCGGTAGCGTAAAGGTACCTTTGGCACAGGTACCTGTAGTAAAGGGAGCTGGAGATCGTAATCCCACGGCGCATAAAGGTCCCTTTCGCTAAGGGAGGTCCTGTGTTAAACGGAGCTCGCCAAGCTCCTTTTACAGCTACAGGGAGTAGCCTCGGACCCACAAACTCAAAATAGAAGCATCGACATATAAATATGACTTGTTTAATGCCTTATAACACATTGAACACATAAAAAGCAAATTATGAAATGATTCTGAACACAAATGTGATGGAGTAATACATTAACGAGGAACCTATACCCCAGCTAGCAGGTAGCAGTGGCGGCACGTGGGAAACAATGTCTGATACGAGCCCGAACGCGATGGACCACTGCGAGCTCTTTTCTGAGGTTATAGACGAGTCGTCCGACTCTCGCGGCCAGGACCTTTTATCCTCGTCGTCGTCCATCCCTTTCGATGGTGTGACTGGCGTAGCGTAACCGTGATACTCCGACGGGGAATATTTAGCTACATGAGCGAGAACTTTGCGGAAAAATGGAGCTGCTAAAAAAAAGGTCGCCCGCCTCGCAATAGAAACTCGTAAACGCAGATTATTTAGAGCCAGAGTGGCCAGACGGGTCAGACTTTTTCAAGGAAAGCTCATTTAGCTTAGACTTAGAGAAAAAAAAAATTGCCGCAAAAGCCAACACAAAAATATTTAGAATTTATATGTGATATTTCGCGCACAATAATCAAAAACTGCGCGTCAAACCGATTTTGAGGAATAATTGTTTATCACGCGCTCCTCTCGCGCTTAAGCTGGAATGCAATCGACATCAACTTAAAGTGCTTCATTTATTTATCGTGTCATCAAGAACGCCGTTTACAACAGGTACCTTCAGCTAAGGGACCTAAGCTAAAAGTGCCTTTACGCTGCCGTGTAAATTGGGTATTACACCAACATGGGTGAAGCTTGCAATTTAAGGTTATGATTATAATGCAGTTAAATACAAAGATGCAAGCGAGCTGGACAAGAATGACGAAAATAATTCCTGGAGAAGGGGAAGAAGAGAAACAAAGGACAAACAGAAATCTCCCAACACAGATAGGTGACTGGTGCGCGACCAATTTGTGTTTGTCCTTTGTCATAAATAGGTATCTAAATACAAACGTAAAAGCTTGTATAAGAATTAAAAAAAAACTAAGATACAATTTATTTTGAAATTCAGTATTAAGCTAATTATGATATTCCACAATAATTGGAGCCCATGAAACTCACCAAGCATAAAACAAATCCCAATAAACTTTGCCATACTCACGTAAGGCAGTAGGTCTAATGGTAGAACTGACGCTAACAATTAAATAAATTAGAGTAAAGACGCAGGCGAGCTGGTGACAAATCATAGTAGAAAAACCCAGAGACAAGGGGCTAAAAGGACAGAACAACACCGTCTCAAAACCAGCGGAACAAGGATTTAATTAGACAGAGTCTTCCTTCTTCTCTTCACATCCCCTTTCCAGGCTCCACATTGGAAGGTATCAAGCAAAAACACACGTGTGTGTTTGCAGTCGTAAGTGTCCGGTGAATACATAACCACTAGACCAACAAAAACGGTGGCGACTCATCGTCCAAAGCAAGCCATTAGCACCCAAACAACGGTTTGGTAAGATCTCGTTATAGACATAATAAAGAAAGAACAGAAAGAAGAAAGAAGAAAATTAGATGAAATCAAAACATTGGACAAAAACGCGCGCACGACTGCAGCCTTGACCGATCAGTGAATGCATCAACACTAGACCCACAAGAACGGCGGTGTCTCATTGTTCTAAACTAATCATTAGCTCGCGAACAACTGCTTGGTACAATTTAGTGATAAACAAAATTAAAAATAACTATTAAAAATCATCCCATTAGCTAGACAAAAAAAAAATAGACCAGAAAGACAAGAACTTCTGTGTCTGCTCATCCGAAGTCAAAGAGGGCCTACTAATACAATTTCCGGCGCTGGTAATCCTTAGTGTCTCCTTAATAACCCTCTTAAATGGATCTTTTTCTTTGCTAACAGTCGTGTCAGACCATCCAGGGTAACAATTATTGCACTCACTAAGATGTTTTACAATTTCAGAGTTGACCGAAGAGGAGTTAGCCGCTCTTTTGTGTTCTAAAAGCCGGTTGTTAAGGCAACGGCAGTTTGACCTACAAATGAGAACCCACATACCAAAGGAATTTCATACACTACTGCCATCTCACATTTAATTAGCGGATCTCTATGATTTGTTTGGCAACCATACTTGTCACCCGAAAAAGGAGTGAGCTTACTTAACTTAAAATCATTTTTGAAAGCAACATATACACCCTGGCTCTCTGCCAAAGCCTTGAGGTTGTGAAAAAAAAGGTGGAAAAAAGGCAAGTACACCCACTTCTCAGGTTTCTTGCGGGGAACCTTAACGGAACCGAAATTAAACAGAACATTCCTCAACTCACTCACCAGGAGAAAAGAGCTATAAGCTGCAGCAACCAGTCGTGACATTTGAAAAGTAACACTTTCATGAACATAGTGAAAACAAGACTTGCCTAAAGAATTTTTGATGATAGAGCTGCTCTTTTCGCTTCTTTCGTGTGGCAACTTCGAAATGGCAGCACCAGTTTCGGGGTATCTTTGCCATAGCTCAAGCACAATCCTTAGGATTGGAAAAATTTTAAAGCTAAAAACTGAATATCGCCAGAAATGCAAATGTCACTGAAAAAGATGAGTTCCGGAGCTTGATCCTTTATAAAGGAAATCCAACTGAACCCGATAGTTGCGACATAGGACACCGAGCTCCATATACTAAGACCGCAAACAATTTTCACATACCTGGTCTGATATAAGAGGGGACTAAGGATGGTGACGATGAAAATATCAAACTATTAATGTGGCGAGAGGACCCGCGTTACGATGGGCACTTTTCTCTCATTCTTTCTGGTGTCTCGTTTTGCGTTGTTGGTGGGCGTTGCTGCACTGTCTCCTTACGCGCGCTTATTTTTGCCCCGGTAGCAGCGGGCCTGAACCCTAGAAACAGGCGGCTTGGCTGGGTTTTGTTGAAAAAACCACGGCAATCGACGGGCCAGTCCATAGCCTCCTATATTTTGAGAAAGCTTGGCAGATCACCACGAGAAGCGGCCGTCGAAACGGAAAAGGTGGAGTGGCAGACAACGGATGAGAGGAGAACCACGTGGCTGGCTCCCCTCTGCGGTGAGACGCCGAAACACGCTTCTCTCGAGCGAACAAGTGTGTGTCGGGTCCTCGCCGCTGCCAACTCTGTGCACTGACGTCCAGGTTCCCCGAGAAATGGCTCTTGGATGCTCTCTGCTGCCAAATCCTCGCGCTCCAATTCTGCGACCGGGCACTCTACGGCTCCGTCGTCGAGCTGCAAGGTTTTGTGAGTATATAGACGAGGCTATGGCCAGTCAGAAGACATCAGCGGGCCGGATTTGGCCAGTGGACCGGTGTTTGGAGACCTCTGGACTAAACGAATCAAACATGGGGTAAATGCGCCGTGAACCTGGGCATTGTTTTTCTTCCCACGCGTGATTGGTCGAGCCGCGGGGATGGTAAACGCTCAAAGACCACGAGGGCCATGACGGGACACTTTTCGCGTTGTTCGATTGTCTGCATCCGATCGCAGTGACGGTTGCAGTCGGACATTGTGTGAAAAGGAGTATTTTTAACAGTGTTTCTACCTTCCACGAATGACCGTAAAAAAATATGCCCCCCCGTGGCCGCCGATAGAGCTATCGCACATAATGTGACATTTGAAATGCTTGAAATGAGACAATCTTACCCCAACCTTAGGTTCCTCGCGACTTTGGTATAGCTCTGCGGTATGGGCTGCAAAGCAAAAATGAGAAGTTTATTAAAGCACGATACGTACGAGCCCTATTATCTTTCAGCTGATCAAATAGTCCGAACATGAAATTCGCAACCCATTTTTTTCTTCGGATCCAGTGCTGTGCGCGAAACGCCGTTCCAAGGAACGACGTTTCTGCAACGCGTTCTTTTTCAGGTGTAACGGAGGGGCGCCTCCGTTCCCTTTTGCATCGCTGGAACGGTAACTTTTTACGTTATCGAATAAACGGCAGGAGAAACGGCGTTTTTTTTTTTTTTTTGTCTATATATCCGCAGGTTTACAGAAATTTAGCTGACATTTACGCACTTCTTATTATTGCCTATTTCAACTTACGACTTCAGGAGATGGAGAAGTGAGCGAGAGATATTAAGAAAACAAAGGACCGTAATATAATCGTGGGGGAACTATACGTAAAGTTCGATGTGGATTTTTTCGCTCGCTCGCCTTATTCTACTTGATAATGACCCGGCGCAATATTCAGTTAAAATAAGCGAACGTAATGTTAACGAAACGACACGTTCTTATTAAAAAAAAAAAAAAAAGAAAACGAAACCGACACGCGTTCGTTTTGAACGACTGGGACTTGTAACGGAAACTCGTTCTAAGATGGAGGAGGAACGAGCATTTGTTCTGGTTTTGGGGGAACGTGTATACAACACTGCTTGCACTACACTTCTCCCAAAAACTGCACGTACGCAAAAAAAAAAAAGAAAAGAATGAAGGATTGTTTAAGATTATATATTGTCCACGATAATATACATTGATTGGATGGCACTGTATGCTATAGGGTATCACAATAGGGTTCCGTGTTTTCGGTATCTATTTTTCGTCAAATGGGGGCGGGGGGATTATTAATGGGTGTTTATTTTTTTTTATTTGAATCGGTATTTCACGATGTCTAATTTCAATGCCAGAGAGAAGTCGGCATTTATCGAGCTTGTGTCGTAAAGCGACTATATATTTACTGGAGAAAATATTATAATTTATGAGTTATAAATTGTAATATTTCCTCATGTAAAGCTGCTAAAGATAAGAGAAGGGAACAGGGCAAGGAATGTAGTTTCGATAAAGATAAACAACTACAAGGACAGGTCAGTGCAGGTGTGTTCCGGTAAAAGGAAAAAACAAAATAGGGTAAACAAATACTTCCCGTAAAGCTGGCGTTTTTTTTTCTCCTTATATGACAGTTGAAATTTAGGCTTTTCGGTTTTCACCGATTAAAAAAACAAAGTCCTTGTGGGTTAATGTTCGGTGTATACGGTATACACCAAACACACGGAAGCCTAGAGGCTAAACTCAATATCACGGTTGCGAAAAACGTGCTCGCGTATAAGGTTCAATGCAGCGTTATAGAATGGAGGGGGGGGGGGGGGGGCACCAACACTTGGGTTCCCGGGAGCAGCCTGGGGGTGTCGCATTGCGCATGCGCTCAAGTTCTGAGCATGCTACACGGGAAATGGTTTAGAAGAGCAAGGAGATGAATCAAACATTTGGATTCTAGGCTAGATGGCGCAAGCTACCACCCGTTATAAAGGGTACAGCCATCAACATTCATCCACCCGCCCACCTAAAACTCTCTAATAACTGTTACATTCCGCTTAGCGTACTTTTATTTTAAGCTATATATATATATTTTCTTTTCGTTCGAGTGTCCCTCGTAAGTTGTAACAATAGTTTTTAAAGGAATGCTGAACCAAACATTTCACTGTCTATAATAAGTGGAGCACTCTCTTTCTATGAGCCAGCGGCCGCCAGTATGCGCCAGCACACGCAACGACATTCACGCATCATATCCCCCATTCAAGCTTAATAAGCTTGAATGGGGATATCATTACGTCAATTTCGTTGCACGTGTTCGCGCACACCGGCGACTGCTAACTACTGGAAAGAAAGTGCGCCACTTATTATAGACACTGAAATGTTTGGTTCAGCATCTCTTTAAGCGCTACCTGACACACTTTAGTTTATTCAACAGTTAGAAACAAAGATACAAGACGCAACCGATCATTAGCTTAAACCCTCCACTGCTACCTTGGGTAAATTATATAAAAAAGGCTAAAACCACTTTTACGACTGTGTATACTATCTTCCACTTTCAGTCCGACCGCGCAGACGTCGCCTTGATCCGACGGAGGCAATCAAAGAGCCCTAAGAGTGCAACGGCATTTCGCTCATTAGAGAGTTTTAGTAGACCGTTCCCATGACTCCGATAACGGTACCCGATTCTCTGCCACCGCCTCCCTTGCGCATGCATAGTATCGTTATCGGGGCTATCGGAGGTATCGCAACGATCTACTAAAACTCTCTATTATTTTTTGTGCGTTTTGTATCGCCAACTAAACCGATCGCGCGCAGAAAAAAAAAAAGAAGCTTGATCACGCTGCATTTCTTGTGTCTGATTGATTTAGCCCATGGCGGCAAACGCACAAAAGCGACGGGCGCCGTGACGATGTACTTTTAGCGCCGCTTAATTGATCATTTCGGTTCGTATAGCGCCAGCTGCGTGGTCAGAGTAGATGGAGAGTTTTAGCAGATCGTTACGGTGTACCTCCCTTCGATAATGATAACTCGATAAAGAAAAATGACGACGCGTTTGCAAAAGGCGTTGCCGCCGGGATATACAGGGTGTCGTTATCGCAACGGTCTACTAAATCTCCCTAACGTAAACCGGACGAAAGTAGCCTGTATTTTTTTTTCTTCGTTTTTTTCGGATTCGAACGTTTGAGCAGCACGTACGGGGTCTCGCAACAGCAGCCGCAAGGTAGAGCGTCGAAAGAGCAGCAGTCAGCAGGAACCTGTTCATGGCGATGGTTCTTCGGAGCAGGCCGTTGCAGTACATCACGGCTCAAAAACAGGTGAGCTATTTATACCCTTACCCTGGTTTCCCGGAATGGAAGTCGACACCGGGGAGCAATCAGAAGGCCTCGTGTCAGTTGAAAAAAGTTTTCATCACGTGTAGCAGTGGCATCACTGCGTATGCACGACTGATCGCCAGAGCGTAGGTAGATATCAAAGGTGGAACTAGGACGACCCTTGCCGTAACTTGGCACACGGCTAAGGCTGTGGTCCAGGTGAGCCAATGAGAGCATAGTAGGGAGACACGTGGCTGCCTCCATCTCGCAATTGTGGATGACACAGAGGCCGGGACAAGCCCCTCCCGTGAAGCCCTCCCACTCTCTCCACCTTAGCAGGGTGAACGCTGTAGAGGAGGCGAGATTCTTCTTGCCTCCTCTCCAGCATTCTCTCTGCGAAGTGCAAAGAGTGGGCGGCTTCTCGGGAGTTGCTTGTCCCACTTAGTTGCGCGCAGTGCTGCCCAAGTCACGGACGCGAGAAAGAGGAAAGCCGCTTTCTTGAGTACTGTTAGTGAAAGGCTAATCTCCGAAGGGGGAAAAAGCAAAGTCTGGGACACGCAAAAGTTGGCCCGGGTAAGAGGAAAGTTTCGCCTTCCCCTCTTCTCTAAGCGCTTAGATGACGCTGTCGCCCGTGTACCTTTGCTAAGGCCTGTCACGTGATCTGCATCCGTCGCTCTGATTGGCTCGAGGTGGTCGAAACGTTTGCTCTTTGCCAAGCTTTGGTGAAACGAGGGCAGTTGTTAGCTTACGTAATAAAAAAATAAACGCGCAAACCAATGTGTTTGCGTTAGTTTTGGAAGGTGGAGGACATGTACGCCTCCGTTTTTCTAACAACGAACAACTGTAGTTTCAAGGTTTAATTTCGCACGCACGTGTGGAAAGATAACCTAAATAAGCGAAAGTTCCGAATGGAGCACAACACGATGAATGCAAAATTTGAAAGAAAGAAAGCAGAACAGGTGCACTATTATTTATTTATTTATTCTAAATATCATATCACTGTCACGAGGCAAATACAGAGGGAAGTTACAAGCACAAGGACTGTCTTTTTTCATTTCTGACAAAACAAATTTTGGGTAAACAAACAACACGATCGTCATTCGCCACATACGTTCTTTCAAGAGCCCCATTATCAGGGAAGTCTGTTCGTCTTTTCCAAAACTGCATGCAGTTTGCTCCATGCATATGACGTCAGTGGCGAGTGATAGCCTTGTCGCCTGATGTCATGACTGAGAGCGCGGGCGGCCACCTACATTTGTGGAGAGCATCCAAAAGCTTGTCCTACGTCATTACTGCCTAAACGTGTATACTGAATATGTGGAGAAGTAGGAGTACCTATTTAAAGTACATCCCGTGCTTAATATAAACCTTTTCATCAATCCCACCTTTTGTTTCTCTCAGTTTTTCGGGAATTAAATTAGAAAACAGCGCTCATAACAAACAAGAAACAATTACTATTTGAAAAGCTTCGAGACTCGGAAAAAAAAAAAGAGAACACAGACCACACAGAGCCTCAAACACAGCTACGATTTATTTGCCAGTCACACAGGTATGCTGAACCGAAATTGAAAGTTCCAAAAATAATGGCCGAACAATCTTCCAGGTTGGTGCAATAACTAAATATTGCCGCGCGCGCTGGCCAAGTAGGCAGCGCGCGCGTGGCCTAATGGTTATCGCGCCTGCCTCCCACGCGAAAAGCTAGGGTTCGAATCCTGGGAGCGATATGTCTTTTGTTTATTCCTGTAACTTAGTGTTCTGGAGAATTCGAGAATCATGTTGCTTGTTCCAGGCCCGAATGTTCTACGCGTCGAAGTTTCTACGCCGATTATTCCAGAAGACCACGCATGTACATAAGGGGCTCCGCGTGGCGAGCCGCAGTCAGTTTTCGCCCCAGCGTTCGACTCTGCTGCAACGCCGACTTCGACGCCCGCGACGCTTTGTTATTATCTTTTGTACTCTTTTATTTTTAACACAAGTTCGCCACATTAAACGTTTATTTCTTCCTGTTCATCTATTGTTTTTGGTCACCACCCGTGACATATTGGTGGAGGTGCGGGGTAACGCATGCCTGTGCAGCGTTCCCCTCCGAGGGTTCGCAGTGCAAGTCCGACGCCAAGCCCACGAAGAAC